ACAATTTAAAAGTTAAAATAATTTCTTCTCGCTTATGAAATAACAATATGAATAGAAGTCAGGAGAGCTGTTATAATCTTCTGATAAAATAATCTGCTGCAATTTCTATTTTTCTTAAGAAGCGATGAGTAACTTCGTGTAAAGATGAGGAATTTCCAGATTCTATTACGAAATAAAAAATCTTTCCTTTATTTTCAACATTATCAATACTATAACAGTTCGCGGAAAATTAATTTGAAATTGTGAAGTATCAAAACTTATCACGTATCTTATGGCATAAAACTCATCAGTACGAACCGGAATATGTAAAAAAACCTTTAGTACCATAATTAAAAATTTTACTTTTGACAATAATGAAAAACCGTCCAAACCGCATATATTGTGAGAGGAAAGGAGAGGAAAACGAAACATGGAAGGAGAAATACTAAGAGTGGAGAGAGGAGCTATTTCCAATGAGTGGGAGATAAATTTCAGCAAAACGTTTAGTGTCACTCTGTTTATTCAAGCCACTTTCTTGCCGTTTGATATGAATCATCTCCGAAACCAACCTTTTATAGTAAGAACGTTCTGAATCAAGAATTCTGGCGTTTTCCCAATCAATCTTTTGATCATTATCCAATTTATGACACGAGATTACAGACAAAGAATTAGAAGGTTTATTTAAATCTTTAATGTGTTCTTTAAGTCGCGTCTTCAATTTTTTTTTGTCTGACCCACATAAGAATGATTACAATCCTGACAATTAATTTTGTACACAACATTAGAGTGCTCTTCTTTTTTAATCCTCTAATATTAATAAAAAATTTTTTACCATTTCTTAAAAAAACTTCTGAAAAATTCAAATTCTTTATAGTAAATTTGATTTTGAGTTAGTATATAAACCAATGAATAGCATGAGCACGTTCATAAAAACCGGCAAGAACAAGATTAAAGTTATTTTCCTCTCCTTTCCTCTCACAATATACATAGATTCCGGTTTGGACGGTTTTTCATTATTGTCAAAAGTAAAATTTTTAATTATCGTACTAAAAGTTTTTTACATATTCCGGTTCGTACTGATGAGTTTTGTGCCATAAAATACGTGGTAAGTTTTGATACTTCACAATTTCAAATTAATTTTCCGCGAACTGTTATAGTATTGATAATGTTGAAAATAAAGGAAAGATTTTTTGTTTCGTAATAGAATTTGAAAATTCCGTATCTTTACACGAAATTATTCATCGCTTCTTAAGAAAAATAGAAATTGCAACAGATTATTTTATCAGAAGATTGTAACAGCTCTCCTGACTTCTATTCATATTGTTATTTCATACCATAAGCGAGAAGAAATTATTTTAACTTTTAAATTGCGATCATTGCGGCTGTAATTGTATGCGTCTTTTGATTATTAATTCTCTATGTAATTTTTATTTTAACATCCGATCTGCGTTTTAGTTTGTAAGTCTTTCATTTTTGTCATCTTTTTGTGTACTGATGATGGTCAAATCTTGACCGAAACGTTTACTTATTTATTTGGAATTTTAAATATATGACTTGTTTAATATCTATTGCTGTGGCTGTGCTCTTTATTATTTATCTTTTGTAATTGTTTAGCTTTCAAACATTTTATTTTTATTTTTACATATATTATATTAAAGACATAAGATTTGCTCTTTTTAGCTGAACTTTTTGCAAGGTTCATCTTTTCTCACTTTCTCTCCAATATGGAGAAAAAAGGAAGAAAGATGAATCGTGTAAGAACTTCATTATAGTGAAGCTGTTAATGGACAATACTAATTATGACTTCATCACTCATTAATTATTAATTGACATTAATATATGGTCAGCCGAGAAAATTTATCACTCTTTCTGGTTTGAGACTTTACTTACTTTCGAGCGGGCTGATTACAATTACCAATAACATTATTCGTAGACGGATTTCCCCAATCGTTATTAGAAGTGCCAGCACCAGAAAAGTGACCAGCACTATCGTTGTTTCTGTTCGAGCTAGATTCCCAAGTGGAATATTCGCTCTCTGTGTTAGACTCGGCGCTATCAGATCCCCACAAAAAAAAGTTACAACCGCTTCCCTGAGGTTTAGCGCATTTGTAAAACAGACGTCCTAAAATTACAAGTGTTATTCAAAGCGTCTTACGTGACAAATCATAAACTTATATGCAGTCGCTACTCACCTTTATTTGGTCCATCTTTTCTAACTGTTAACTGTATTGCAGTCTCATGACAGTGACATATAATCTCAGAATTATTGTCTGTATTACCCCATATATCTTTTACATTGTTTGTATTGCGAGAATTTCTGAACGTGGATTGATTTGTTCTGTTTCCTGGATTGTTAAAATCACTTGAATTAATCCAAGAAAACTGATTTTCTGTATTGTCCGATATTGTACTTCTATTGACAGTATTTGACCTATTTGAACTATTCGACTGAGAAATATTAGAATTCTGGTTTTGTGTATTTGATCTGTCGGATGATATGACAGAAGTTCCGATCAAGTCAACATTGTTGTTATTTCGTACAAATCCTGTACTATTAGGAACTAGCTGAGTACTTCGCGATTGAAATGTATTTGAAGTAGATTGAGATGTATTTGAGGTGGAATTCAATGTATTTCTCGTATTATTGTGAACAGTATAATTCGTTCTTCCAGTTTGTTTAATGCAATCTTCTTTAATGTTTAACATTTCGTTAAATATAGTATCACAGCCTATACAAGTTGTGTGAGAGGTACCATACATGGGTATCACATTCCTGACTAATTTGAATTTTAATTTGTGTATATTTTCTGTACACTGAAAAATATTAATCGTACACAAATTTAATAGCTTACAAAAACACATATACTTATGTGAAATACACAGCGAGCAAAGATGTTATATTTACCTGATTGCATGTTTCATTTAAAACTTCCACATCCTCTACAGCTTCTGAAAACCAGATCACGTTGGTACATTCTGGATATCCCATACAGGTAATATATTTTCCTCTGCCTTGTCGTCTCTGTTTTAGAACCATGTCAGAGCCACATTTTGGACATTTAAATATAGTACTAACTGGAATATTAAGCTGTATTTGCTCAGTTTGAAGAGGTCTTTCGTCAAGGTAGTGTGCTAAAGAATCGTCTATCAAATTGGCGCGTTCTATAGCCACTTGGAACACTTCGCGATATTTATTAATTTGATATTGTAATACTTCATTTGGGTTTTTCTTACTCTCGCATATCCTATAATAAAATATGATAAAAATAGATTTATAACATACCCATACAGAATAATAATGAATTCGATTGAATGCACTAGTACGCACTCGTGCATATTAAAACCGTTGTATACTAATTTATATAAAGTGAAATGCAAATGTTTTAAACAAACGTTTTAAAATTGTATAGAAATGGGTTAAACTTTAATCCATTTCTATATTTCAAACAATTATAAGTAGAAATTAAATTGATAAAAATTTTAAATAATAGGAAGAATTTATATTAAACACACATCTTTATATCAATTTATGTAAGAATTTATGTAAGAATCTTTATATCAATTTATGTAAGAACATTAATTAATGTGTACTAATGTGCGTCTAATCAAATTGGCTATAAGAGATTGTCTAATAATACATTAAGTTGGCTTACAGTTGTAAATCTTTTTCTAAATCCGCACGCAAATGCGGCTTGGACATTTGAAAGCCCATATTATCATAACCCATGACCAAACCAATTCCCAATTTGCCTGGCATAAAATGTTGAGTATCCGTTAAACCCACATATTGCCTGGATTTGATGGTATCAATATGGTCAGCATGAGTAGCGTCCGTACCAATGCCGTGTTTGTCCATTAGTGCGATCAACTCAGCCTCGGTTAATAAATTTGGTGCTGAAGTTTTCTCTTCCACCATATCAATGCTAGTTGGTCGAAAAACTTGCCGCTGCTCGTAAGAATGAATCTGCTTGTTATTCCATTTTTCGTATATGTACACATCGAGATAATTCTTCGTTATGATTTCAAGACCGTTAGTCTTGAACTTCTCTCCCGCTATATCAATTTCCACCGTTGTTTCTCGGCCCTCCGCATTCTTTGACAGACAAGCCAGAAAATGTCGAACCACAAATTCATAGACCTTCGCTTCGTTTCCTATTGATAAATTGCAACTGACTAACGCAATCGAGTTAACGATAAATAACCCTTACAGAAATTTAATACCGAAAGATGATTAATTAGTTATTTTGAATATTAAAAGTACTATTTATCAATGCTTTTATTCAAAATGAGTAATTCCCAGTATTAAATTGATAGATATTAGATTTCTATAAGAGAAGAATAAGTACTATAAACGGACCATACAAATTGTCGGTATACTTTATGGGATGAATAGGAGGATGCGCTTGATCGCTTTTCTTTCCTTGTCTGGGAGTTATTCCAGATTCCAATAAATTTTGCGCAAAGTTACCCCATTCCTGATTGTTTACTTGTTGCTCTACTAAAGATCTTAGATTCAATTCCTTCGGAAATATATTCGTTTCCGTGCGTGGGTAACTAATAAAACCTTGGGTATATAATCTCTCCGCTATCCTCATTGTCTCCTTTGCGTTTATGCGTAACTTACGAGAACCTTGCTTTTCCAATTCCTGAATTGATAATTTTTTAAATAAAATGTTAAATATCTCGCAACTTAAATATATCTTAACTTGGTTACTTACAATAGTATCCAGAGGTAAAGGTCTCCATTTGCTTTTTGGTTTGCATGTTACTTTCTCCACTGTAGCTTCCGGCTGTTCCAAGCACATGTCCAGAAATATTTGACAAGGCATTTTTTCAAACAATCTTACTCTGGCCCATCTGAATTCTACAGATATTCCCTCGCGATCGTCCATTACTTTTAGTTTCCAATATGGTTCAGACTTGAAGCGATCGATGGCAAGAAACCTCTCGACTACAAATCCGAGCGTTGGAAACTGGCAGCTTCCGTAACTGATGAGCAGATCTCCAAGAGTGTTGGGAAACACTTTCTGTAATCTCAAGGTCTGAAATCTCGTGAACGCGGCACCTGTCAATATGTTTTGTCAATTAGAAATTTATAACAAAAATTACAGTTCAATCATTCTAATTAATGACGTTTAATGAAAATAGTACCTATTCGTAAATCTAATTCACTTCTTACGTCTACGGCATCGCTCATCGCCTTATCTGGCTGTGTCAAATTTTGCAGAGCTCTTTCAACAGACGATCTCGTAATTTCTGAGAATTTTGCTCTAAAACATTAAACGGACATTTATTACAAATCTTGTTAAAAATATGTAACACAAAAAAATGGCTGCGTTCAGCAAAAAAAACTAATCAGTGAGTGAGAGCTCAATGATTCTTTAATGATTGGTTCTTGTCTTTAGTTATTCGCTGGATCTAAAAGTAGGAACCAATCATATTAAAGAATCAGAGCGCTAGTAATCAGTTTTCTCTGCTAAACACAACAACTAAAGTGTCATCAATTACCTATATACACGGATATTAGGCTTGACTGCTTGGCAGACTTGAATAATCTCAAAACCTATGTTCTCCCCCTCTCTGTCACAATCTGTCCAAATAATCAATGCATTGCAGAATCGGGCTTCTCGCTCCAAGGTTCTCTTAATATTTTCATGATTCTCTTCCACACACCGCTTAGATACTGGAGCATCAAATAAGTTTAATGGATGACAGCTGTGCCATTTACGATAGGCATTTGTAAAATCATAGCCTAATAAATGGCCAGACACAGATGTCATCAGCATTTGGCAATTTTGGCCCCATAGTTGTATGTTAAATTCGAAGATCTTGTTGTACTTGGAGAAACCTTCCCTCTACAAAAAACAGAATCGTTAGTATCTGTTTCTATCAAAGTAAGATTAATTTCGATTTACTTTTTATCTTTCTCTTTTGTAATTGTAAGAAAAAGATATAAAGAATAAATTAAAACCAAGATTAAAATTAATTAATATTAGTAATGGTCATAAAAAATATATTCCTACAGCTCCCTTGGTTCATAAATAATAAATATTAATATTAAATGTAAATAAAGAGATTGTATATTGAATAACACACACACGCGCGCGCGTGTGCACACACACACACACACATACGCACATACACACACCCATATATATAAAGTATAAAAAATAATTGCAGACAAAGCAAGACAGTAGTCAAATGCTGATTTGATTCCTAATTTGAGTAATATATTCAACATAACAAAATTAATAAATAAATCAATGTAAACAATAAGCAGAAGATATTAAAATATTTGCAACATAAATTATGAATGTATAATATATATATTAAAAAATTAATAATTAAAAAATGTATGAAAAGTTAGACTAGGTTTATCCAATTTGAGTTCTGAAGTCATACAAAGCATCGATGCAAAAAAATTAATATGAGTAAGATTTTGGAGACTGTAAAGTATTGATACTTGTCTGATCTACGCTTAGGAACACTTTACAGTCCATGAAATTTTACCACTTATTCTTTTTCAAAAAATTCTGAACTAGTTCTGAACTAATGCAATATGTTAAAGTGAAACAAACTATCTCACTCTAACTTACTGCATTAGTGTATATTAGTTCAGAACTGTGGAAAAAGAACAGGCCTTTCACATTAAATCTTTTTGTGTTGATAGTTTTGCATTTTGGCTCCAGAGCTCAAATTGGACAAGCCTAAATTAGATAGAAAAGAATACAATGCAAATGTTACATTATAATATATAATTCTGACAAACTGTAACTGTTACAAAATAAAATATAATTGAATAACGAGAAGTAAGTAAATGATAATCAAGAATTATTATTGAGAAAGCGCTCTATTTATATAAATAAACAAATGCTTACCCTTCTGCTGGTACCATGCGATAAATAACCAGCAATATTTTTAGCAGCATCAGGTTTTTCAGCAACATTGAGAACCTTCATGATACTCTTTGAACAGTATTGTCTTAACAAGCAAAACGTATAACCAAGGTTTTTACTAGACAAGTTGCTAGTTTTCAGACCGTAATATATCATACAATTTAATGTGATGGTATAAGACTTAAAAAAGGCCATTACATGATTTTGGCATTGTTGACAATTTTCCACCTCGAAAGTTATAAATTTACTACTTAAGCACTTTATTTGATAATAAATGCAACAATAAACGATGTATCAATACGTGATTTATCTACTTTAATTGCGTTACTGGAATGACTAAATCGACAGAAAATAAACGTCCACTTCCATGTTCTATCGCGTAATTTTACACAGCTCATTAACGGCGAGACCAAACCTCGCTACAAAATTCTGTTTACGCATCGATCTGTGCACATGTGCGGCACAATAAGAATCGTATATATTGTTCAATCAACGTGCAAGAAGTGCAAGAAATTCAACTGAAAAGAACAAAGTGAAAATCGAGGGCAGAGAATCGAAGATGATTGACCGACGTGTCAGCCATGTTCAACATTTTCTGTTCGACGACCAATCGACGCGTTCGACAACAAATCCAAAAAACGATCGATTCATAGATCTGTTCGCATTGCTTGAAATCCCTCGAAATTTTTGTATTTAAAATAACAATTTAATATATTTATTAAAATGACAACATAATATATAAAATAACATATTAATAACAATATAATAATAAATAAAATATATTTAAATGTTGAAAAGAGAGAAAACGAAGAAGCTAAGTGCATAAAGTGTAAGTAACATGAACTTTACATTGCTTGCATTTTACATTTTTTCGCACTTTTCGCTCTTTAATAATATTATTACATTTACAATTATAATTCTATTATTATTATATCCATCTCCTTCTAGATGTAAAAAATTTTAACTCACTGAGAAAATTAATCCAACACTGGTACAATTTAGTGGAAATCGATTTATATATTTTCAGTGTATTAATAAATAATTTAATCCTTTAATTACATATTCTGTTGTCAAGGTAACCTCATAACTTTTAAATGATTAAATTATTTTTATACTAAAAATATGTGAATTAATTTGCATCCAATTGCACTCTAATGAGCACTAGTGTTGCACTAGGTTTCCCAGTGGAAAATCGTAGTGATTTTGCATTTAATGGGTTTTGGGAGTGAGAAATCACTAAATTGCAGAACGTAGGAAGAACTTGGGAGCAGTGAAGAGTGTGGATGTCCCTCGTTTTTTGCACAATAATTTTCGATCCGATGTGGATTTTTCTCAGGATACATACACGTGAGTATTAATTACTGAGTGTCGCGTTACGCTATTATATCGCGTTACGTCATCATCGCGTCTCCGACGAGTCGAGAGATCCGCTCGCGCAAGAAATCGTAATCGTCAAAACGCATAACACGTACACACGTCAGGTTTCTTGTTTTGTCAGGACGGATTGTATTCTCTTCTCTCCCCCAAACGGTCCGATAATCCATCCCAAAACGCGATGTTCTAGACATCATAAGCCATCGATGGCTAACGGTCGTATATTACGCATTGTTTCCCGGAGAAAGGAAAGGTCACGGAAACCTGACGTGTCGTACCACATTGAGCGTTGTCGTTGTGTCGTGTCACGTCATGTCATTGAACGATCGTTCCTACATCGTGTTTAATTTGCATAATTAATGGATACACAATTACTATTATCATCCTGGTGAAACTTTTTAGGAATTCTTGTACGAATTGGAACACTTCAGAAAAACAGTCTACTCTCTTTTTTCAGAATCGTTTATATATGTGAATTCTGAAATATCTTAAGATTTCTATAAATAAAAAAAAATACCTTAAATTTTTTTAGATTTTAGTATATTTTATTTCACGCTTAATATATATGATGTATTAATTTATCCTTGTTATTTCAAATATTAAAGAAGGATAAAATGATACATTTCCAAGTAGAACAAGTCATTGTGATGTCAAAATGACTCCAAAATAATTATTAAAAGTAATTTTCCAATTATTCATTTTAATGTCATTTTGACATCATAATGACTTGTTCTACTGAAACAAAATACATTAATAAAATCTAAAGAAATTTAAGGTATTTTTTATCGTAACTTGTTCTGCTTAGGTCATTGTATATTATGTGAAACGAAACGCATTCTAAGATTTTATCAGAAATTATAGAATAAGAAATCTTAGAAATTTTAGAATATTTTACAATTCACATATATGAAGAATTTTAGAAGAGATATCTGTATATTTTTTCGATATTTCTGAAATATCCCAGTTTGTGTAAAAAATCTGAAAAATTTTCTAACAAATTATAAAATTATTTAAAAAGTCTGAAAACTTATGAAATTTACATAAAAATTCTGAAAAATATTGAAAATTTTCAGAAAAATATTCACCAGGACGAACAGAAATGTGACCTACAATTAAAAGAATAATCTCGTTTTGCAGGCTGCATCAACTTTCATACATTTCGTTTTTCTTTTTTCCTTTTCATATGCACGATACGAACTTTGTCGTCCACATATTTGTTTATTAATCTGCAATCAGAATTATTTACAAACGAGAGAAGATAAAATTTTCTCTCTTTGATTTTATGTAATTGTTGGATCCGATGAATTCAAGAATTTTATTTGGAAGATTTTATGGAGAAATTTCACAAAAAATATACAGTTTGCTATTTATAATCATAACTTCAATGCTTAAAAGCTGTGCGATAGTCTTTTGCAAAGTGTCATTTAATGTAGAATTAGAAAATCCAATTCTAATTGTCAAAAATCAAATCCAATTAGATTTTAAGATTATAGTATATTAATTAATACAGCCTTGACTATAAGTCATAAATATAAAATGCATCCAACATTTGTTGTATTTTCTTACAAAAGAAAGTAGTAAAAGCTACAAGAGAACTAACAAAACATTAAAAATTGTAAAAATTAATATTTTTTTCAATAAAATTGTTTTTTAATATATTTTTTCTTTATTCTTTACATCTAGAATGTTTCCGTTAATTTGTTGTGCTTCATACTTATGGCCTAAACTATATTTGTTCTGAGTCCTCAAATTTCCGTTTCAGCTTTTTCTTCTAAAATTTCGTAAACGATCTATTGATAATACAAATTTTGTTAAAATATCATAAGATGAAGTGTGTATAATTATATATATCTTTTTAAAACTTTCATATATTGTTAAATATGTAATGTAAGATTCATGGATGTTTCATGTGTTTCAGCAATAGAAGATCGTTTCTGACTTCCTTTGCTTGATACGTGGCTGTTTTTAAAATACCAAACATGACGGAGGACATGTTAGGTGCGGACATCTGTAGGGTCTGTCGATCCGAAGGCCTCGCAGACAGACCTCTGTTTCATCCCTGCATATGCACAGGCAGCATTAAATGGATACATCAGGAGTGTCTGGTGCAGTGGATGCGCTATTCGCGCAAGGAATACTGCGAACTCTGTGGTTACCGTTTTTCATTCACACCTATATATAGTCCAGACATGCCACGGCGTTTACCACTGAGAGATGTCATAGGCGGTTTATTCTCAAGCATTGTTACCGCCGTAAAATATTGGTTACATTACACACTAGTGGCGATCGCGTGGCTGGGAGTCGTCCCATTAACTGCATGTCGCACATATAGAGCTCTCTTCAGCGGGCCGCTTGATTTAGTTCGGGTAAGTGAAGGAAATGCGAAATTAGATTTGTCGTATGACAAATTTTTCAAGCATGTTAATTGACTGCAAAATAGAAAGGTTCTTGAATCTCTTTAGCCAATCAATAGGAAAAATTTATCATATGATATATTAGCTGAACCTTAGATTAGAAATTGAAATTGAAATTGAAATTAACGAATTAATCGGACGAAAAGCAAACCGATATCAAGTTTAGTAAATTTTGTTTTGATTAGTTAAATTAAATCTCGCTCTCAATCTCAATTTGTAATCTGATACGGGCATAATAGACTTGATCTTGACTTTAATATACACGGAAAAAAAAAATGTAGCATTATTAGTAATTATAAGTGGAAGAGAGCTAGACTAAATAGATAAGACTAAATTAAATAAGAGAAATATCCTCGCTTGTGAAGTGGATCTTGATGTCTAATAATATTTATATGCAAATTTATATTTATTTTCAAAAATTACTATGAGCTAATACTGTTAATATATCTATTTATTTTTTTCGTGCAGGAAAGTTTGCGATTTAAAAATTAGTACTAATAAATTTAATATTGAAATTATGTATTTGCAGATAATGTCGTTACCGATGGATATGCTTTCCACCGAAAGTATATCGTCGGATGTGTTTCACGGTTGTTTCGTAGTTACTTGCACTTTGTTCGCGTTTATCGGCCTGGTATGGCTACGCGAGCAAATTTTACACGCGGGCGGCCCCGACTGGCTTGAAAGAGATATACAACTGCCCCCAGTTGACAATCCCCCACAAGCAAACGCACAACGACCACAACAACCTCAGGAACAACGTGCTATGCCACAAGAAGTCCAGGACAACAATAATGTTCCTCCTTTCATTGATCCACCTATTCCTCAAGAAGGGGAGTTACATAATGAAGGTAATTTGACAAAATGAGATAGACTTTTAGATTTTTAAAAATGGTAAAGTGTTACAATATAATAACGTGACAAAGTTTATACAATAACATAACGTAAAAGTGATAGTGTCTTGCATTATAAAAATTTTAAAGGCACTGAAAGGCATTGAACTGCTTTTAATACTCAAAATAAGTAATTAATCATCTTGCAGTAATAAATTAGCTAGTATTAAATGGGATTTTTTATTTCATTCAACCAAATCATAGATCAACGTCCCATATATCGAGAAATGGCAGAAAACTTGGCCAATAATCCACGAATTGGCGAACCCGAAGATCTGGTGAGAGACGTACAAGCACCAGCTCCTCCCATACCACCCCTTCCAATCAGGGATGAACTCGGTGTAGACGGTGGACAGGCGAATGCTGCGGGTGGCGAGCGTTGGGCGAGGGGACATGCGGTGCAGGCCCATGTAGTGGGGCAGGCGCAGGGTGAAGCCGAGGAAGCCAACTGGAATCCTATGGAGTGGGACAGACCAGCTGAAGAATTAACTTGGGAGCGTCTCTTAGGATTGGATGGATCTCTTGTCTTTCTTGAACATGTCTTCTGGGTTGTGTCTCTAAACACTTTATTTATCATGGTGAGTTTATATATAGGATGTTTCAGAAATCGTAATATAATTGGAAAGGAGGTGATTTCTTATACAGGGTGTCCCGAAATTTTTTGCTAAGCGCTCTTGTGCAGATAGAGTAGACTAAATCTGAGTCGAAAAATCTTCTACCATTTTGCAATTTTCGCAATAGTTAACAAGATATTATTTACTAAAAATTGCCGAATATTGGTCTTCAATAATTTTTTTCTCAAATATTGTCAACTTTACAAAAAATAATAACTAACCAAAAAATTACAAGAAACAAAAATTGTTTATTTTTTTCTCATAGAACTGTAAGAATGTTTGAATTTTTTATCAATTTTTTA